ATATATATATATATATATATATATATATATATATATATATATATATATATATATATATATAAAGGTCATTTCGACTCTTAACATAATTTTAAAGTTTCTATTTAAAAAATTCGATTTGACCAAACATAACCTTAGTAGACATTGTAACAAGGCTCTTCGCCTTGCTCTTATCGTCATCATTATATGTTTTCTCCGAGCATATTGTAACTTTTGAAACATATAAAATTTCGCCATATACTTATGTACATTATTATTATTTATTTTTCTCATTATTATTCATTTTTCTCGTTTTTATTCAAATTAATACAACAAAACAATTCACTCCAAAACAAAAATCCACTCACAAAACAAAATCAAGTAAATTTTCGATCCTGTTCTAACACCGCTTTCAATGATACTTTGGAAACAATTTGCTTTCAACAATCTTTGCAAAAAACTTGAATTTACAGCACGCTTCCTTGAAAATGTGAGGTTCGAAATGACTAAGGTCTCGTAGTACTCTGAATGTCCAACAAAACTATCTAAAGCAAATTGCAGTTCCAAGTACTACCACTAGGAAGCAATCGACATGAATTAAATTCGTATTATATTCTTCCTTTAGTACGTTCGATGTAAACGCACCTGTATTAAAGCATTGGTGCGCATCAAACTTAATACGTGTACTAACGTTTTGACGATGTAAACCAGGCCAGTTAGAGTTAGCTAGAGTAGCATAACGGATAACGTGTGCATCAGGTAGTTGATTTTCAAAAAATGTTAATTATCAATAAGTTTAATCTCATGTAGTATGTTTATACCGAATGCGTTTAATACGCGTATCAATTAGTAATTTTATGTTGAATTATTTTGTTTCGGCGATGTATATAAACAACGTCATATTGAAGTGGTTCAATATTGATTAGAAACACATATCGTATTAATTGAATATATTGCATCGCCGAAATTAAAATAATTAGACAGATGACGTGAAGATAGTAGATGGTTGTGCCAATTAAATCTTTCGATTCTAGTGGAACTAACTCGTACTCGATTTAACATAAACACCTAGGGTGCGTTCCTTTACTCGCAACAGATATATAACCCGATGCATAATCAAATCGTTCTGTATATCCAGTTGTGCACATCAAGCTGCAGACTGCGTCTGCATCTTGACCATTCTTTAATTTAAGTTGCAAGCAGAATCGTATAATTGCTTGCAACTTTTAGCATCCCAATCTAATGCGGCTGCCGAAACATTGTAACCTGAGTTCTCGAACCTGTGCAGGAACCTCAAGTATGAATAAACGGTTCTTTGATGTGCAAATAGTAGTGCGTTTCTCAGAGAGCACACAATATTTATAATAAATATTTATTTCGAATTACTTCTAAAAAATATATAAATATATAATTATATAAATATATATATATATATATATATATATATATATATATATATATATATATATATA